AAAACAAAACAAAAAAATCAACTAAAAACTATTCAAATGATTTTTATGATTCAAAAAATATCTGGCCAGGCGTGGCAGTGCACGCCTATAATCCCAGCACTCGGGACACTGAGGCAGGAGGATCGTTGTGAGTTCAAGACCAGCCTGGGCTACAAAGTGAGCTCAAAGCCAGCCTGAACTGCATCACGAAACCATCTCAAAAAGACAAAAAAAAAAAAAAATCATATATAGAGATAGATAGATATTTATATTTTTCTGAATAGAGATAGATATGTATCATGTTCCTGTGTCCCTAAAAAATTAGGCATTAACTGCTCCTTTCAATAAACCATCAGACATCAGCAGTACAGTTATCTCAGTTTTCCTTCTATATATTTTCCCTTCCTTCGTTCTTCCTTTGTTTTTCTCCTTTCCCTCATCCCAGTTGTATATCTGGTAATCTGAACAATTAATTTGAAGACAACAAAATGCAATATAACAACCACTGGTGAATTCCTACCTTCTTTCTAGTGAAACTTTGTATCATTTCTAATGTTTCCTTCTTTTCATTTTTTATTCTCTTTAATGGTTTGATTGATCTTGCATTCTTATATCTGGTAATCTGAGCAACTTCATTGAAGATAACAATATGTAATATAGCAATCACTGTTAATTCCTATCATCTTGTTCTGAAACCCTGTATCATTTGTATTGTTTTTGCTTTGTTTTTGTCTAAGCTGTTGGTATTTTGCTATTGTTCTTTTTCTATTATTCTCTTTAAAATAAAAACTCTCGTGGTCTCGAGTAGAAAGATTCTGTATTGAAATTTATTAGTTCTTCTTAAATACCTAAGGGTTTAATGCAACCCCAATTTCATAAATTCAAATATGAGTAGAATTCCCTTTTTGGTCCTTTTTCTTTTTCCCTTCTGTGAGGAGGAGAGGCTCCTGATTTTGTTTAGAACAGACAAAGCAATATTTCATTCATAAGCATAAAGAATGGCCCAGGAAATGCTGAAAAAGAAGGGTGATGATCAAGAACTAGACCCGCAGATGATCACACCAGCTCGTTAAAGGTGTTACCACGGAGAAGACACAGAACTTGGACAAAATAGAGATTTTCAATTCAAGTCCAAATTTAGCAAATGCTAAATGCAGTGTTCTGAGTCAGTGGAGAAATACAAATTATGCAGTGAAATATTTATAAATCACTGGATGCGCTTGAGGAAAGCCAACCCAAGCCTCACCTCTCTGGCTGCCATCAACGTGAATTCCTGTGAGTCTGTGGTTTAAACTTAACGAGAATCACAGGACTGAAGAGAAATGCACGAGCTGATTGACTTTTCCCAGAGCGAGGACGCCCACAATCCCCGGCACCACGTGGGAGACACTGACAGTGCCGGACACGCTCACATTTGTATATGTTTACCTCAGCAGAGAAATGCCGCAGCAGAATTTTAAAAAGTGACGAACAGGAAAATGGCCTTGCTACAGCGTGGCTGTGATAATGAACAGCCAACCCCATGAATTATAAAGAGCCGGCATCTGGCAACGGAAAGACGAGCTGAGCACCGGGCCCCGAACCCTGATCCCAGCCTCCGGGAGGCTGAGGTGCACACTTCAAGCCCAGCCTGGGCAGCTTAGTAACTTAGCGAGACCCTGTCTCACAACTGTAAAGGTTTTCTTAGAAAACGGCTGGGGACGTAGCTCGGTGTGAAGGCCCCGGGTTCGATCCCCACTAACACACAAATAAATATTTTATGAGACAAATGATCACACGGGAAAACGTGCACTGTGTACGAAGGGGCAGACACAGGACAAACACAAACGGGGCCCGGCAAAGTCATGGAAGGATACGCGCTCTCTCGGGGGCCGCGACTCGTCCTGAACGACGCGGGTCTGTCTTTGCCAGTGGGGCAGCTTCCCGCCGAGGGCTGCCCAGCCGGGTCCCTGCCCGGCCTCCACTGCTCAGACAGCTGCTGGGCACCTGCGGGACAGAACCAAGAGACGTCGTTCCAGGGTGGGGAGAGG